AAAAAAAAAAAAAAAAAAAGGATGTTAATGTTGGGTTGGGGTTTTTTTGTAAACTAAAACCTCAGTATTCAAGTGTAGTTTCAGTGTTGGCACTTTGCAGTAAATAAGTGGGTTTGGGGTTGCAGTGGGGTTTAGGGTTGGGGAACTTGCCTCGAAAAGATTCACCATCACTAGGCTAGATATCAGTCCTTTGTCTAAGGAGTAGCTGGCAAAATTTTTTCCTGTTCTGTAGGTTGTCTCTTCACTGTTGGGAGCTGCTTTCCTGTGCAGAAGCTTTTTAATCTGATGTGATCTCATTTGTTGATTCTTGGTATTACCACTTGTGCAACCAGGGTTCTGTTCAGAAAGTTTTTGCCTAGGGCCGGGGATTTGGCCCAGTGGTGCCTGTGTCTGCCTTGAAAGTACAAGGTCCAGAGTTCAGTCTCTGGTACAAAAAAAAGAAAAAAGTTTGTGCCTGTCCTCAAGAGTTTACCTACTTTGTCTTCAAGTGAATTGTTTCTGCTTTAATATTTAGATTTTAGACCCATTTTTAGTGTAGTGCCTAGGGAGTGATACAGGTCTGAGTTCAGTCTTCAGCATATAGATAAGCCAATTTCCCCAACACCATTTCTTAAAGGGGCTCTCTTTCCTCCAGAAAAAGTATTTGGCCCCTTAGTCAAAAACAAAGTAGCTGTATGTGCCTGGAGTTGTTTCTACATTTTGTGGTTTGGTTTTTTTTTTTTGGTACCGGGGATCAAACTCGGGTCATTGCATTTGTGAGGCAGGTGGCGGAACCACTGAGCCAAATCCCCGGCCCTACATTTTGTATTCTATTCCATCCATCCATAACTCTGTTGTTTTTTCCAATGATGTCTTCTATCACTGTACTTTTGTAGTGTACCTTGAAGTCCAGGATTTTGATGCTTTCTGCCTTGCTCTTGATGCCCAGGATTGCTTTTGCTATTCTAGATCTCTTCTGCCTCCGTATGAATTTTAGGATTGTTTTCTCCAGTTCTGTGAGAAATGCTATTGGTAGTCTGAATGGGATTGGGGAAAAAAAAAAAATCCAGAGCAACTCCAGCTGAACCTGGCCTTTGGCCACAGGGGTTGGGCCTGTGCCTTTAGCTCAAACCATTCGGTGGGTTACTTCGCAGTGCGCTCCCTGACTGCAGCTGTCTCCCCCAGCTGTCTCTTGCCCGGTCTCTGTGGGAGTGTACCACTGTAAGCCCTAGAGGGAAGCTGTCCTGTGGCTGCTCCCAGAATGGTGTCTGACCAAACACACTCTTCAGGGCTATGGCAGGTGCTTGGACTGGAGTCATTCACCAGCTGTGGCCTATCAGAGTTCTGTGGGAGCTGATTCCTATCTGTCTCACCAGATCACCACAACTACTGGTCAATTCTGCCACCACATTTCTCCCTGAGAGCCCCTGGAGTCCCCAGTATTCACTACTCCACCATTTTTCTGATTCTGGTTAATCCTTTGTAATTGGCCAACAGGTCCCAATACTGTTTTGAGCACAAAGTCACAGAGAGGAAACAAACAGCATAGGAAGGTGTAGACTTTACTCACCTCCTCCTGGAATTACAGGTGGGCCCCCAGCTATGCTACCACAGTGCCTAGGTCACATCTCATAGCGACAAAGAATGAAACCATGGCTAAAGGAGGTAGGGTGCAAGCAAATTTATTTAAAAGATGAGCAAAAAAGTAAAACATACAAAGGCGAGGAAGTACAGCTCCTGCTTGCCAGGATGGGGTTTTGAGTAGGTTCTGAGGAAGGCTCCTTGTCTAGGAGTCTTTAAGAGGTTTAGGAGGGAGCTGAGGCCCCTGTGAAAGCAATATAATCTCTACCCTAAAGGAGACTACATATTTTTAGGGTCCAATCTGTTCAGGGTTCACACAGTGCCCTTGCAGAGCCCATGCTCCCTTGAGCCAAATGGCATGGCGAGGTCCCAGACAGCCAAAGGACACCTGGCAGATGTTTCTGTGACATCTCTAGAGCACCATGACTTAGAAGACTCAATTTTGGGCTTCCTGATTCCATTTTGGGGCTGTTTTCCTTACTGTCCAATAGAATTTTAACTCCTGTGTAATTCCTGCTACTGTGGGGTCTTACAAAGTTGGCCAGGCTGGACTGGAACTTATGATCCTCCTGCCTCAGCCTCCCAGAGTGTTGGCATCATGGGCATGTACTATCATGTCTGGCTAAAAAGTTTTCTTTAAGTGTACAAAATTGCACTTGGGCTAGGGAACCTCGAAGGAGAAAAGAACATGGAGGGAAACAGGGAGGCCCTCAGAGTCTCTAGAGTATCAGGGGGTGGGGGAATAGCTTTTTGTGGCTTCATAAACACATCCATCCTCCTTGGAAGAAGTGCCCAGAACCTCTGCCGAGCAATCATGAACATCCCCAGCCCCAGCCCCACATGATGCCCGCAGCAGGCCCGGCACAGGCAGGAGGTGCAGGACTCACCGATAGGTGTAGGGCCCCACTTCTTCTAGCAGAGGGGACTCCCCTCGGAGGATCTCGTCTGGGTTGGTGACGTTGAAGAAGTAGAACTGGGTGTACACAGGCAGCGGGGGCTTCTCCCAGGACTGAAAGACCTCGGTCCCATTCCGTAGCACCACGTTCTAGAAGGGGAACCAAGAGGCGAATTACAGAAATGTAGGGCAGTGGGCTTTGAACATGGCAGAGGAAGGACACTCCCGGCTCTGACCTCCTAGTTCCCTTGTTTAATTCTTTCCCAGGCATCCAACTCCAGGTTTTACCAAATGGGGCTGTGCCTTATACCAGCAGAGCCCACAGCCCTGCTACGCCACAGGTCCTCAGAGAGAGTCGGCAGTAAAAAGGTGCTGAAACATCACTTCCAGGTAGGAACAGGGTGTCGCTGAAACTAAACATCCAACTGATTTTTGTTAGGCTTGAAGATTCCACTGAAGCTGAGCAGAGTGGTACATGCCTGGAATCCTGGCCCTCTGCAAAGCTGAGGCAGGAGGACCCCAACTTCAAGCTGAGCCCGGGCAACTTAGTGACTTAGCAAGACCCTGTTTCAGAATAAAAAATAAAAAAGGAATGGGGGTGTAGCTCAGTGCGAAGGCCCCGGGTTCAATCCCCAGTACCAAAAGAAGCGGAAGAAGGAAGGAACAGGGGGAAGATAAAGGATGTCCACGTACATGGACAGATCAGTGGAAGACACAGGGACAGGACGGCCACCTACAGGCCAAAGAAGGAGATGCAAAAGATTTTAGCTTTATTTGCCATAAAACAGAATTAAGTGTTCCAATGTGCTGAGCAGAGGAGCTTGGTTTTATAGATAACAAAAGACTGAAGAAAGAAGAAACAAAGAGCAAAAAGTAGATTGATTCCTTCAACGTTACCTTCCTTGTGAGTGGAGACAGAGGACACAGGACAACAGGAAAATAACTGCTTAACATTAATTTGCTTCAGGTTTGTCTTCCTTCCTTCCTTCCTTTCTTTCTTCCTTTCGTAAGGATTAAAACACAGTTGAGCTGAGCACAGTGGACGCCCACACACCTGGAATTATGCTTCCTGGGAGACCGAGGCAGGAGGACTGCAAATTTGAGAGCAGCCGCAACTACATGGTGAGATGCTGCTCAAAAAATTACGCGCTACCGCCACCACCACCACCACCTCCAACTGCACCAAAATGAAGGCAGAGAGAACTTCATTATGGGGGTGGGAAATGGTAACCAGCGTGGCCTGTTTGGCACATCCGGTTCTCTCATTTCTCAGGTCAGATAAATGAGTTTATGTTTCGGGAAGCATTAGCAGCACTGTTTGGATTTTTACTCTGGCCTCTTGGGGCCTCGTGCAAGGCTTAGTCAGACAACGGCCTCCTATAACTTCTGTTTTACATGGCCAACACCTGATCTCACACTTGTAGCATCCAGAACTTCTGAGATAATAAATCCATCCTTGTGGTGTTTAATAGAGTTCCGGGCCGGAGGGAGTGTTCGTCCCCACCCCACCGCCTTGGCTCGGCCAAGGGCAGAGATGTGGCAGGCAGGAGGCCGAGGGATGGTGGAACGCTGGTCTGACACTGCTGCCTGCAGGGCACAGCCGCCACCATCGGCATCCTGAAGATGCTGCTTCTGCCGGGGCAGCTGCAGTCGCGGGAGGCCAGCACACTGGGGACACACGCTCCGAACAGGCCGCATTCATGTTAAAGACCCAGGCGCAAACTCGGCTGACTAGAACACTGAAGTTGTGGAGAGATGACATGCTGTAAGTTGTAGTACGGGGAATTGAACCTAGGGCCTTTCCACTGAGCTATAACCCAGCGCCTTTTTTGAAATGTTGACAAGGATCTTGCTAAATTGCCCAGGCTAGGCTTGAACTTGGTTTCCTCCTGCCTCAGCCTCCCAAAGTGCTGGGATTATAGCTGTGTGCCACCACACTCACTTTTTTCTTTTTTTCCTTTGGTGGTGCTGGAGATCGAGCCCAGAGCCCAGAGCCTTGAGCCTGAGCCTGAGCCTGCTGGGCAATTGCTCTGCCATTCTACACTCAGCCCTAGTCTCTGACTCTTCTGTAGACCTCTCAGAATGCGTCACTAAGCCTAGCTGACCTCCAGCTTCCACCAGGCCTGAAGCTAACAGCACTATCACAGACCTGTAGAAAACACTTCCTGCTTACCTGGTGCTCTCACAGCGTAATCGGGCCGTGTGCTGACTGTGACTGAAAAAGTCCGCAACACATCGGCCACAGGTGGAGCAAATCTGTGTCCTATGTCCTCAGAATAAACAGTGCTCATTTCCCTGCTTCGGGGTTGTTCAAACCAGCACCAGGTGGCTAAACCATTCAAGCTGTCTGCAGTCAGCCCACAACACATCAACCCTGCACAGCAACCCTGCCTCCCCACCCTCCCTGACCACCCTACATGCCTGCCAGGGTAAAGCAGAGGGTACCAGTGTAAGCCACTGAGGCTCAGGAGCTGTTTGTTAGCCAGCACTATAGCAAAAGCCTGACAAATGCAAGGCCCAAAGTTAATGAGCAGGATTCTAATACCCAGTAGTTCTAACATTTCTTAATCTGCTAGTGGGGAAAAACTTTATATTTTCACAGTGGAAATTATTGCAGGCACAAGAAAGATAAAAGCACAGACCAAAAACAAACATAAAATGTGAACAATGATTAACTTTGAGTGTTTAGAAATGTATTTATTTTCATTTATGGTGGGGATGGAACCCAGGGGACCTCTACCATGAAGCTACACCTCCAGTTCTTTTTACTTTTTCATTTTGAGACAAGGTCTCACTGGGTAGCCCAGGCTGGCCTTAAACTCATGATCTTCCTGCCTCAGCCTCCCAAAGAGCTGGGATTACAAGTGTGCCACTAGCGTTAGGATCTGGATCAATGTTTTTTCCTCCCTAATGAGATGTTGAATTGTATAACCTTTAAAATAATGAGTAAAATAATAATAATAATAATATGAGAAAGGCTTCAGAGAGGAAAATGGGGCCTGCGGACACATCAGTCAGGCTAAGAGTGAAACAGTAAGAACCAGAGAGGAAGCGAAGGGCACCGGCATCCCTGGGGCTCCCTGTCACTGTAGAGCATGTTGGAAGCCACTTGCTAAACTGTGCCCCACACAGCATGTGACAGCACAGGGAGACAGAAAGGAGCGGTGGGGGAAGGTCCCAGGTAGAGGCGCAGAGCAGAATCTTCCAACAGAGAAACAAACTTTCCTCTTCATTCACACAGATGCAAAAGAAGGACACGGAGTGCCCTCAAGGCAGGCAGTGTGGGCAAACTAAGGAGGCCCAAACAAAGAAACTGTCCTTTTCATTCCTACGAAGAGAAAGGTAGGGAACTCGCAGACGGCAGAAGTGTGGGAAAATAAAGACCAGAGACAAAGGAGCCTGGTCCTCTCTGTGGTCTTGAGCAACCAGGCCCTCTCTCTGGGAGTCTTTCCAGTCCTGCAATAACCTCTGTTTTCTCTAAAACTAAGACTTGGTGTGCATGCGGCCTGAAAAGAAGGCCACTGGGCAGACCGGTGAGATCTTCTCAGGCCACCACGAACCAGGAAAATCCGCTGACAACAGGATGTCAAGTGTGAGTAGCCCAGACTTCCAGTTGAACAGAAGCAGTGTTGCAAGAGACTCAATACTCTGTTTCTAAATAGAAAACATCCAAGAATTCTGCAGGACAATAAAAGTTACTGTGGAATAAGGGACTGTAAACAACTGGCTTGGAGCTCACCCTCCAGGTGGCTCTTCTACAGAGCTGCGGGTTCAGCTGTGGTGTGTGTCAGCTGTCAATTTTTGAGCAGACTACATTGTTGAAATATTCTATATCAGTGCTGATTGAATAAGCTGAGATCACACTGATGAACCAAAGATTTTTATTTTTGGGTTTTTTGAGACAGGGTCTCACTATGTAGTTGAGACTGACCTGAAACTCACTATGTAGCCCAGGCTGGTCTCGAACTCACAGCGATCCTTCTGCCTCAGCCTCCCAAGTGCTGGGATTATAGGTGTGCACCCCCACACCAAGCTGGAAAGATTTTTAAAAACAAACTGTGAGACCCCTTGGGTTCCTCCAAGATGGCGCCCAGGACTCTACCTGGCAAAACTCCCTTCTTCCCACACACTGAACGCTCCTGGCCTGGGGTTAAGAGGAGTCATCCAACATTTTACCCACTTAAGACTTTGGGGATCATTTATCTCATGTCCTAGACAGAAGAAGCCTTGGGTATCTCAGGGGACAACACAGTTTAAGCTCAGAGTGTGAGAAAACAGCAGGGCTGACAGGATGCACTCAGAGGCCCTAAAAGGTGAAAGCCCTTCCCTACTTAGGTCTGAGCTGGATCTCAGAGCTGCTTTCCTCCTCTCTTCCCTTTTCTACAGGCAACATTTTAATAAAATATTAGAATATACACACACTGAAGTTACACCACTTATATGGTGGAGTCTAAGAACAGCTCAGTAACGTGAAGCTAAACTACCTATATAACTAGCAGGCTGAAAGGGCCTAACATGTAAGTAATTGTCACTTTGTGTTCCAGAGGGTTCTGTGGACCCATGGACACCAAAAAAGTCATTTGATTGCATTAAAATAAGGATCTCTTTCCCATGAATTTCCAGAAAAGGTCAGGGCAGTCATTCCCCCACCTGCCTTAAACTCCTTGGGTGACCGCGAGCTGGGAACACCACCCTTCCGCTGAGCCCCATGACACATGACATTAGAATTGCTCAAGAAAAACGTGCTCAGTGTAGAACACATTTCCCAACTGATTCCCAAAATGGATGTAATTAGTATGGATAGCAAACATAAAGTAATTTTTAGGAATTATTAGGAATCATAAGCAGATGGGGTAAGCAACCTAAAATGCAAAGGAACATGAACTATTTGACATGTTGGTGTGTTAGGGTAATCGCTGGCTTCTCAACAGAGAAAGTGCTTATCTACAAACAAACAGCAGAGTTTTTGTTGTTTTCTTTAAAACTCTCTAGCGCACCTCAGATGCCTAGGGCAAGATATATGCTGGAGAAGTATTTGCTCAGTCACCTAAAATGTAATATTAGTCCGTTTACACCCTGGCTTCCCTGGACTTTGCTTGCAGATGTTGGAGAAACTGGCTGGGTTGCAGGGTTGGGGAAAGGTCCCTTGG